CAATCAACCCGTGGCAGCACTTCTAAAGTTATGTTTAGTCGGGACGATTTTAATCTCGAAATTTTAAAAAATTTTAAATCTCGAAATTCTCATGCATAATTTTTGGCGCGCATTTTAGTCCGTCATATTTATGGAATTATCAAGGCTGCTTCCCTCTAATCAGAGAAATACTTGAAAGAGAGTGTTGAAACAGCTTTGGGCTTCTTTGTGGAAGCCGTGTACAGTACAAACAGGATGACTCCCCTCCCCCACAAAAGAAAACAAAAGTAAAATAAAACGGCCTGACAAACAAAATTGAAAGGCCTGTTATGTTATCCCTAAGACGACTTGAAGGCGAAAGCCCGGGTGGTGGTGCATTAAAGACAGACGCATGATTTACATTGTTTCACGCACTGTTTCTTTTTAGATTCTCTTTTTTCACGACCTCGAGGGCGATTTTAGAGGTACGGAAACAAAAATTGAAATATTCAGATTTTGTTCGTAAATGAGTCAATCATGACGGATAATAACCGTAAATGATAATCGCACGTTTGTATTTTGAACGACTGGCTATATTTTTCGTTCCAAACGGTGCACCCGAGCAAGCGCCCGAAGAGAAGCGAACGGAGAGCGCGATGCGTCACGGGATATCCGGCGCAAACGAAAACAGAAAGAAAAGATTCCCCGCATACGTGACGTAGCAAGGCTGGCGTGGTTATGAGCTTTGCCCTTGGTGGCGTTGTCAGCGTTGTGGTGGTGTCAATAGCGTCAGCGCGTTACAACCGAGCCGTTCGAAGTACCCGTGGGGTGACGAGCGTGCGGCTGGCCCAAGGAGCACGTAGCTCCCACAACACTGTCAGCTTAGGGCTGAACGTGGTGAGCAAAGCAACTTTTTTCGAGTTTTGAGGGACGGGCTTGCACATGACGTCACTTTCGATGCCCTCCAGAGAAAAGGGGAAGAAGGAGCTCCCCTCTTATCAGGATCCTCCTTTGTGCCTCCCGGATTTGTACAGGCGTCGCTATTCTCCCCCCAGAAGATTATAGGAGATTAATCTGTCAACGAAAAATTCTTACAAAAGCAGCTTCCCTCTCCTCCTTTTACTTGGTGTTCAAAAGTATGCGATGTGACGTCAATGCAAGGAGCCTAGAGGGAGAATGGCTGTTTCCGGTTGCACGAACGAGGGTCCGAGAAAGAGGGAAGTCCTTCCTTTCCACCTTCTTGGACCATTCGGTGAAATGCGCGATTTGGGGGTTCAGGAAGAAGGCTAAGAATTGAAACGTTGAAATGTCAAAGAGTGGCGCTGCTCCGAAGGAATCTGCTACGTCTCGACTACGTAGCAGATTCCACAACGTTGCTAGACTACCTCCCAAATAGGCTCCGCATGCAGCCAACAGGTGCACACTGAAAGTCGTTTATTTAGCTTTAAAATTAGTTTTTTTCTCCTTTTCAACGGAAGACTGGTGTTTTTGAGGTTAGGGTGCAACATGCAACACATTAAAGCTAGGAAATGAGCGCTGAAATTTCGTTTCCCTACCCCCTTAAGGACGACCTCAAGAACTACGTCGAGAATGACGTCATAGAGGTGGACGTTAAAGACGACGTCTAAAACGACTTCTAGGACGACCTCGAGGGCGACCTCAAGGACGACGTCAAAGACAACGTCTAGGACGACATCTAGAACGACCTCTAGCGCGATCTTCAGGACGACCTCAAGGACGGCGTCAATGTCGACGTCCAGGACAAACTCTGGGATGACGTCAAGGTCGTCAGGTCCTTCGAAGAGGGTGCAAATGTGAAGGAGTGTGCGTGCAGAATATTTTTCATGCCTTTCGTGTGGACAGGTTTTCGCTCATGGACTTTCGAGGTCGACTGAACGATGAAACATATAAGGCTTTCGCCTTGTTAAAAACACTCCAAGTCCGATCCTTACACGACGACAGCGAAATTGACGCACAACGACTGAATCACGAAGAGGAACGTAAATTGCATCCATGACAGACCCCAATACTCCCTAAAGAGCGCTGCCCTGTCCCCGAACAGAACACTTCGCGGTCACGTACGATGACAGATGCCCCCCTCCCTTTCCCCTTCTCTTCTTGGCGTTCCTTACTAGTCTAAGATGCTGACATTTTCCGGTGAAAACCGAGTTTCTAAAAGTTAATTCGGCATACTTTTATCGGTGTTTATTGGTCAAAACGGAAAACGCCGAGCCCTACATATAAATAAACATCTGTGGATAAAATTGTATTAAGAGGCTAGGTAAACCGACGCCCTCGTGCCGAGAGACGCCGGAGCACGTGCACTTTGCAAATACACAAAAAACAATGATCGGGCGACAGGCGGTGAAATGACCAAGGTTTCATCAGTCCACACAAGGACCGGCTTGCTCCGCACCAGCGGATCTGAAGGCACAGGCGGCGGAGATGACGAGCCGACAGCGCACGGCGCAGACAGGCACAAGGTCGGGGCAAGCGCAGGAGTCCAAAACTCCAAGCCCGACCGTGGCCGGGGATTGTGTGTGCGTGTTTGGGTGGGGGAGGGGGGGGGAGGAAGTGGGTTAAGAGCACGTCTGCGCGTCTGGCGCGTTACAGCAAGGCTGTGTTCCTAAATCTTACTCGAGCAGATCCGAATTACTTCGGCGGTTCATGTCACGCATGTCAAGCGACCACACCCCTAGAACAACCTAAAACGCCGAGTCAAATCAACTATGTTTGGAATGCGGCCCACCACTTCTCAAGGCAGCCCAGTCTGTATCAGTGGGTGCGTGGTTTATGAGCCTCTGTTCGACGCGCGCGCCCTGCGCAGGGAAACAATCTGTCGGTGTTGCGTTGCCGCCTCAGGCACGTTGATATTTTTATTTAAACGGAGAAGTTCGGTTGATTGAGCTTCTGTTCTTAATTTAATTCAGGCTTCTTTCTATTCATGACGTGCGATGCTCATATGAGAATAAAACACCATGGCCTTCGGCACTGATCTTTAGGGCCATGAGCTCCATGAGCAGACGACAGTGTCTCATTTGATCTCCGCTAGATGGAAGCAGGAGCGGCGAGAGTACTGCTGGCGGCGCGCGCGTGCGCAAATATAAGACCTTTTGAGCCTCCGTCGCGTGGGCGCTGCCATCTTGGAATGACGTGACGCGGCCACCATAAGGTCGTTCAACTCGTTGTTCCGCTGTCCCTTAGCTCCGCGCCTTGGCGAAAGCGTTGCGCTCGCGTTTTTCGTCACGTTTCATTGCGTCTTTCGCATTATTGTAAATCACCGCCCGATCATGCCATCATTATGTGCCCGACGACATCTGCAGTTAATTCTGTAACATATTTTGACTATTTTCACCGTCGGCGTACCGGATACGTGTAAAAACAGAGGAGGTACCGGAATCAGCGTCAGCGCTGGCGCATATTGAGCCCAATTATTTATGACAACTGAAGTTTGCTCAGTGATAGTGGCGCAATATCCTAAATATGTGAAGTACACTGTATATGCATAGCCACACTTTTCGTATTTAAGGAATGTGACCAAAATACTCAGTATATGAAGCTATGTGTGTTTCCTAAAACCCTGCGGCCTTGTCTTCGTAACAAATTTAAAACGGTTGTTTTTGATTATGTAGCATATATACGATATACATGTTTCGAACGTTTAATTCACATTTTATCTGATGCTCGCGATAACCGTAAAGTCCACATCAGGCGTTTCCTTTGTTCACGGCATGACACGTAAATTTGTTAGACGTTCTTAATTATTTTTGCATTATAAACGTTTGCTTGATTTGTTTATTTTTGAAGTTAAAAAAAACTGTACACTTCAGTCTGTCCCATGTTTGCAGTAATTAAAGGCTGCTAAGAATTTTAATACGAGGTTTAATTTGTTTATTTAAGCTATTTCAACACAAAATCCCTGTGAGAAAAAATCTGTCACAGGCAGCTTGAAAGTGCCAAGGGCTCGCAATATGTGATGCCGAAAAGAATCCATCCAAATGGAAATCGCCCGAGTTCAGCATTGCTGATCCTAGGTTGCATCAGTTTGAATAGAGACCTGTCTAGACAGGTTCATGAAGATATGCCTAGAATTCGATTTTAGCCAAACGTGCATAAGATCACTACTCCCGGGCCCTTTAATTTTATTTGGCAAAGTTTATACAAAGACAAATTTTCAGACTTCAATTGATGGGCCTGTCCCTTATCTCATGTGTCAAGCACATCGTAATCAATTGCCAGTAAAACAAATAGTTAATTTTCTAACTCAAATGGTATGAAATGCTGTTATAAGTACTTTAGCAAGTCAATAGGTAAAGGAATCCTTCCCCCCCCCCCTCCCCTCTTCCGAGCTAGGACGGAGTATAGAATTATATCTCGAGTACTTAATTTCTTTAAAGAAAACACCCCGAGCATATATCACTCGTTTCTTAGAATATCCGTGTATTATAGGAGACACTTCGAACCTCTAAAGTTCACAAAAAGTTTGGTGTCCGCGAAAATCGGACACTGAGCAGTGAACTTGCGACTTCGTGTGTTTTTCGCGATTCAGGAGGTTTTTAATCAAATTGGGGGCCTGCATTTTTACTATACATCGACTTATTGGTCTCTTCATTCGTTAATTTTTCTAGAAACTATAGGGTCAGTGGGTACGGCCGTAGACGATGGAAATCCTCCCTGTGCGTCATATATTGTTTTGCCGCCGAACTTGACCGAAATTAACGACGAACGTGACCAGATACATCATAAAGTGTTCGTAAAAAAGTTGCGAATATGACTGGAAACCACTTTGTGGTTCTCAAATTGGCTCAGTACCACAGTTGTATTTATTGTGTACTATAACGGCCACATTTGCATCACGAACTTAGGCGAAACTGAACACATAAACACAGCCGCGAGCGCGCTGAAACCGAAACCAACCAAATTGAAGCCACTCAATGGCGGCGATTGCGCCAGCGCCCTCTATCCGCCGCTCGGGTAACTACTGAAATGAAAAGGCCTGGAGAAGGAGCCCCGCTGGCCCCGGCCTCGCCGCCACGCCAGCCACGCGAGGGAGGCTGCAAAGCGGCGAAATCTTCGCGGGTTCGCCAGTTTTTTCCTGGCGTCTTTGTTTGGACGAGGATCCGTTCATTCCGAGGTGAGTGTTTTTTTTTTTATCTTTTTTTTTTATCTCCATACTCCGCGCAAGCTAGGTGTGCAAAAGCGACCACGCCGTATGTTGAACCAAATACGTAGTGTTCGCGAGCCCGTTACAGGCGAAAGCAGGGAAGCGGTGTCGAAGAAGAAAGACTTTCGGTCTTCGGAAACGGTGTCGAAGAAGGAAGTCTTTCTTCTTCGACACCGTTTCCCTGCTTTTACCACAGTCTCGGGTTTTCTGCATTCTGATCAACATCCACCAGCTCGCCTGCGCACTCACAGTTTTTTTCCGTTACAGGCGCCCGTTTTAAACATGCTTGGAAGTGTTGCGGTGTTGCGCCAGATACCGTTGAACAACACCGGCACTGAGGAAGGCGTGCGGGTAGCGCACGCTGCAGCGTGCTAACTGCGTCTGATTGAGCGCCATGTTATCGAAAGTTGTTTAGCAAAAGAACACGTTTTAGAAAGCGGAGCTTGGTACGCGGCGGTTCTTTGTCGTACAAGCTGTCAAACCTCGCACCTCAATTCGGGCTCTCTCGGAACTGTCAAGTAAATGCGGAGGTGTGGTGGTGCGGTGCGGTGCGGTGCGGTGCAGTGCGGTGCGGTGCGGTGCGGGGGATGGACATCACTGCCGCCAAGGGTTCGGCAAGCTCGGCGGCGGAAATGGGTTGTCAGCGGCAGCCAATCTGCGTACGGGCCGCGTGCTATTTCTCCCTGAACCGAACCTGAAGACGTTAGCTTGCCGGTTGTACCGCGCTTGAAAAGTTTCGTGTGATATATTGTTAGGTCAGTTTAAATTTGTTTTTAAATGTAAATATTTTACTCCTTCAGGAACCCACGGGGGCTGCCATCTCATTCGCCCGAGGTATCCGCTAAAAACAGGTGAGCGCAACAATTACCACTAAACTAATTGTATAAATGCATTTTCCATTGAGGCTTGTATTCGCAAGTTCCAGCTACGGTGTCGCCGCTCAGGCAACTATTTACTGAAGTACAATAAGGATGAATAATTTCACTCGAGCAAGTACGAAGCATAGGCGAGGGAGGTTTATAATGAACGAGAAACGGCACATAACACGATGCTAGTTCGATAAACAGAGGTACCGTAATCTGCTGATCCACCGCGCGCGCGCCGCGCCGCGCGCGCGTAATTCGATGCGGCATCGAATTACGATGCCGCATCGAATTACGATGCCGAAAGCCACGGGAAGCTCGAAAGCTCAACTGGGATCGGCGGCGCTCGACCTGCGTCCGCTCGTCGCCGGATCCGCCGAACGACGCTGCTCGCTTTGCCTGGCTTGAAGCTTCGCACCGTCTCGACACTGGAGAATGTCTCCTGCACGGTGTCAGCGTGTGTGCGTGTTCGACGGGTGGATGATCCTCAGCGGAGACTACGAGCATACGGTAGCAGTGATCGAAAACGTTGACGGGAAGGGATCGGGCTACTTCAAAACGGTCTTGACACGTGGTTTCGTGTAGACTTTGAAGATTAGGTCTGACAACAAAGGTAGGCTAAATACGGCTTTATTTTGCGTTTTCAAAGTCCAAGTGCACATTCTGTAATATGTGAAGATATTTTCGTGGTTTTGCTGCTAGTATGTAGTTACGGAGCAACAACTATATGTGCCAGTGGTTCGTAACAAACTTCGCGATTGTTGAATAAATCATGAACCACAACATTTCTGCAACGTTGTTTCATTTAGCATACGGCGCACGTACGTGCTGATGCCTAGCAAAACAGTCTTGGTAAAGCGGTCTTGGCGCTCATTTTTGCATTTTTACGCAGTTAGCTGAGCTGCTTTATGAAGCGTTTGATTGTACGCACTAGCGTGTTCATTGGAAAGCAATTGCATGATGCATTGTGTTGAATGCCTCTTCAATCAGGTGCTTTTGCATGTCTTCGTAAAGCCGTTTTTTTTTTACCTTCTCTGCCAGTGTTAACAAATGGGGACGTCACTAACGATACCTTGCGCAAAACATCCATTCCGAGTTCATGACATCGTATGAGGGAGTCTGCCCATTATTGCTGGCTTTACGTCCTTTTACTCATGTCAGGTTTGGCAGTCGTGTGTCCGATAGTCTTTCCAGAGGAATTTATGGTGTGATCGTCTGGTTCAGCAGAATCGTCCGAGTTCGCAGGCGACATGGTTTCGACTAGGTTGGCAGAGTCTGATTTCGTACGAAGCGCACCTGGCCGGAGCGGGGGCCGAAGCACGACGCATATAATCCGTCAGAAGCTGGAATCAAATTTTGGGCGCAGAATACAGAGAGCTTGAAGAACACTTCTGCGCTCGTCGCAGGCTGAGACGAGACTTCATCAATCCGCATCGAAATCCTTTTCTATCTTTGCGGGAGGACATTTCTTACGTATTTATAGGCATGAACCCTTCGATAGCAGCATCACAGTTGGCGCTGCTTGAAATGATTCACGTCTCTAGCAGGGCAATGATCAGAAGAGAGCAGATTCGACTCACTTTCCACGATACCGACTAATGCTGGAACTTGCGAATACTATACGTTTAAGAACATTTCGATTTGTGTCTGCATACGTGTGCCTAGCATAACAGATATGACATTTTCCCCGATGTCCTTATGAAAGAGGTAGAATTGTTTTTATTAAAAAAGTTGGTTTCATAATATTTTATAACTATTACTATGAAGTTAATGGTGAATTCAAGTGGCCAATGTCCGGCAAAAGCGCTCGCGTGGTCAGGATCAGCCAAACGCGCGGTGTTCGGGTGGCTGTTCTCCGGCAAGCGCCGGCAACTTTCGGCGCTTTTTTACGCCGGAAAGTTGCTTCGTCCCAACCTTTCTATTCGCATTAGAACCCCCAGCTGCCCGAGGCCTCTGTCGGCCTTTAAAAAAGCCTTTGCCCAAGAGCCCATCCTCCGCCTCATCCGCATCCCTGTGAGTTCCCCATAGTGGCTGCCGCCTCGGCAGAAGGAGGGGAATCGGTCTATCCTGATATATCTCCCTGTTCACATTCGTAACTTCATATCCGTTCTTAAAGCTCAGTCTCCGGATTGTCCTGTTAGCCTCCAGGACTGCCCTCTTTGTACCTATCTCTTTGTCCCCTGACGTCCGGGACGGTGCACATTACATTGCACACCATCCCAGAGGTTATGGACCTCAACTGTCTCAAGCCCTCCTCAATTTGTGTTGGCAAGCCTCTTTAACGCTGTAACTGCCACAAACAGTCGCATTTGAGGATATGTAAAAAAATATAAACAAGGAGCACACAGTTATGTCCGGTGCTATCCCAACGATCGCCTTGCTGCTTTGTAGCCAAGGGTCTACATGCAGACAGATCAAAACAGCAAAATAGTTCGCGTGTCAAAACAAGGTTGGCCAAGAAAAAAATATTTTTTTTTATTAATTCGGTAAAATTGCCAGCACCTCCAAGTCTTTCGAAAATCCGAAACATGTAAAAAAATGCCTGCGTGCCCATAGATTCCCAGAAAATATGTCACGACATTGCATGCATAAACCACATTACCTCGTTATGCCCAGATTTAGCAGTTGTGTCAACTTTCAGAACAGTGAATTTGATGAAAGCCAAAGTAAGTATGATGCAGAACTGACACGCCCCTTTTTGCAGGTGTTGACAGAATTGTTTGCCTTTTTCTTGCCTTGGCCCTTTGTCTTTTTTTTTTTTTTTTTGCATTATAACAGTTTCACAGGAGACCATTTAGCATTCAGACCAGCTACCTCTAAACAAATCAATTGAATGACTGGTTCTGCATTTTTGTTTATCTTTACTGCGGAGTACTTATCTAATTCAATCAATTTTTTTTCAGTGCAATGTACACCTGCAGCATTTGTCATTGCTGCTGTACCAGTTTATCACTCTTTCTGAAGCACGTTACATTGCATAAGAATGCCAGCAACATGCAGATTCAGTGCCCCCTCTCAGGATGCAAGAGGGTATTCAGGAAGATTGGTTCCGTCTATAGCCACCTGTCACGTGACCACAAATACTGGAGTAGATTTGAGGCACCCCTTGCTCTGCTTCACGAGGCTGTTCCACTTGCGTGCAGTGTAGCCACTTGTCTTCAAGTCTGCAGCAATTCGAAGTCACTAACCTGTCATCTGAAAGGTCACATTTTGCAACTGGAGGCGATTACATGCCCTTTCCCTGGATGCGCTAGGACCTACAAGAAGAAGTCATCGTTTGAATCTCATATATCACGCTGTCACCGATTTGCAATGCAACAGGCTCACGTAGATGAACAGAGATCTCTCGACAACTTCGATCATTCTCCTGATCAGGAGGTTGGTGCGTCATGTGATGTGGGGTCTCAATCGAGCGGTGACTTCGTGAGAAATCAGAGTCAAGTAATTGATGCTTTTGGGCTCCTGTATCTACGTCTTCTGTCCGTGCATCTGGTGCCATCGTCCACAGTGCAAATTATCAGTGAGGCGTTCTTTGACTTGCAGAACAATAATTTGGAGCAAATGTTATCAGAATTAAGAAGAAAACTGGATTCTGTTGGAATTAGTGACAGCACATCTCGGGAAGTCCTACACCTCTTATCTGACAATGACCAGATACTCAAAGCACACAGCAGCTCAGGTGTGCTACGGTCACCATACGCCCGTAAAGAATACTTCAAGGAGAGGTTCAGTTATGTAGAGCCTGTAGCGATCCTGTTGGGAAAGAACAAGAAAAATCAAGATGCTACGTTTCATTACGTCCCAATAATTGACACTCTCAAGGCATTGCTGTATGATGAGTCAGTTGTCAGTCAGTGTTTGAATCCACTTAGCACGGAAGTGGGCGTACTCCGGGACTTTGTGGATGGAATAGTGCACAAGTCAATTCCTTTGTTTGATCAGCAGTCGGATGCCGTGAAGTTGCTGCTGTTTCAAGATGCATTTGAAGTCGTGAATCCCCTTGGCTCAGCAAAGAAAAAGCACAAGATACTTGCAGTGTACTTCATGCTCGGAAACCTCTACCCATGGAACAGATCACGCATTCACGCAATTCAACTTGTGCTTCTATGTAAAGAGTCCGACTTTGAGTTTTTCGGGCAAGAAAAGGTATTTGCACCACTGCTAGAGGACATCCGGAGGCTTAAAAACGGAAGCTGTCAGCTGAGAGACGGCAAGAACCTGTATGGAGCTGTTGTGGCGATCCTTGGTGACAATCTGGGAAGCCACACAATAGGTGGCTTTGTTGAGAACTTTAGCAAAGCAAAGCACATGTGTCGGTTTTGTTTAACAGAGAAAAAAGATATGTTTGCTGAGTCCAATCTGACTGGCACTTTCGAGCTGAGAAAAAAGTCCAACTATGACAGGTCTCTAACAATTTTGAGTCAAGATGACACGCTCATTGTTCACGAAGGAGTGAAATTTGACTCATTGTTTAATCGCTTGAGGTACTTCCATGTGTGTGCACCGGGCCTGCCACCTTGTCTAGGTCACGATTTGTTTGAGGGTGTTGTGTCTTATGATATTGCATTGTATGTACAATACTTCGTCCACAAGTGCAGGTGGTTCACACTGGAAGAGTTAAACAGAAGCATCTCCTTATTTAATTTCAAACAAGGAGATGCAAATGATCGCCCCTCGGAAGTGAATTTAAAGCTGAAGCTGAGCGGGCATGCAGTTCAGAACTGGAACATGCTAAGGTTCCTGCCTGTGTTTGTTTTCGGCAAAGTACTAGATCTCGATGATCCTGTGTGGCAGCAGGTGTTGATGCTCTCAGATATCGTCCAGCTGATCTGCACTCCAGCCATCTCGCTTCCAATGATAATGCGGCTGAAGGACCTGATTGAGGATTATCTTCTAGGGAGACTAGAGCTCTTTCCATTTTGTTCTCTACGACCTAAGCACCACTTTCTTGCGCACTATCCTTACCTCATCATGCAGTTTGGCCCATTAATGAGAGCTTGGACTATGCGCTTTGAAAGCAAGCACGGTTACTTCAGAAAATGCGCGAGAAATTGTCAAAACTTCAAAAATATCACATCCACCCTAGCTGAACGACACCAGCTTCTCCAAGCATACAAGGCATCTGGTTGCCTCTTTCCAACTGCCTATCCTTCGACATCTGCATCAAGACTTCAGTTGAGTCTATACAGTGATGACATTCAAAAGGTCATAAAGGATTTTTTTGGATCTGATGATGATATCTACTACGCCTATAATGCCGAGTACCGAGGACTTGCGTACAGGAGGGACATGATTCTGGTCTTATCACGAGAAGATGATCGGCTGGTGTTTGGTCAGATAATTCTAATTCTGGCAAAAGGCCCTGCGATGTGCTTCCTTGTACGAGTCACCCGGTCGTCCTTGGAACCTTCAATGCAGTTGTATAACCTCTATGATTGTGAATCTGGAAGTTTGAAATGTGTTACTCCAATCTTCATAATTGACTATGTTCCTCTTGAAGCATACCGGTTGGGCCAAGCACAGCGCCCCATTGTGGTGCTGAAGCATGCAGTTTTGGATTTGATTTAATTATTTCCTTACATTGTCTCTCTTAGATGGAGCTTTCATCGCTTATTGCTAGCTGGCTGCCAAGCCTCCCATCAGAAGATGTGGAAACTGTTGTTTCCAAGCTAGAAGAGTGCGGTGTAACAACCATGGAGCATCTAAAGTACATTGAGGAGAGCGACCTGGACCTCCTAAACCCAGTGAATAGAAGGATCCTTTTGGAAAGGTTTCGCGAAGTCAGTGTGACAACCAAGGCACCCATACCTGCTGCACAACCTACAGCGAGTGTTCCTCTTCCAAGCACCTCACGTTTCGAGAATTGGAGCGAAGACTTCTCCATTCCATGGGATTCGTTTCCACAGAGGCTTCTGGAAGCATGCTACAAGAATGCAAGGCCAACGAAGTCTGACCTGAACCAAATGGTGAGGCAATTGAGTAACAGAATTATCCAGGAGAGCTTCTCGCCGGGCAGGCGCCACCTGAGGGTAATTGCTTCAAAGATTGTAGCTAAGTATCCGTTGTCATTTCAAGACATGCTGCAAGGCACAGTTATTGGACAAGGCGTTGAAACTTTGCTCTGGAAACTAGAGAATTGTGTAAATAACAAGAAGAGGCCCCTAGCGCAACCTCTCCCAGAAGAGAGCACATCCGACCCTGATGCGTTTCATCAGCCCGCAAAGACAGACCGTCGGGACTCCTACGGATGCGTGGCCTGGAAGCCTGAGCTGCCTCCAGGAGAGACAGCCTACACTCAGGATGAAAAGAGAGAACGTCTGGTAACAGAATATCGCAGGGTATCTCGGGATGATAGACTAGTCACAAAACTCATGAGTGAGACTTACGCAACCCAGAGGCTACTGATCAACAGCTCCAAGGGGGTAGGCAAGGTGAAAGAGGACTGGCCATTCCTGCTTGAGGAGCACCATTTTCTCAATCATGCAGAGCTACTGCTCGGATTCAACGTCAGCGAAGTCTTTGATGATAACATGAAAAAGGTTGGAGTACAACTGTACAGGTACGCCTACAGTCATCTGAAGAACGAGGCTGTGAAGAAGTGCCTTAAGGACATTGAGGATGCTAAAAAAACTCTAAAAAATGTGACCCCCGAATATGACAGCACTCCGCTCCTGCTGCTGGCAATCTTCGGTGAAGACATTGAATTGATCTTCAAAAATGTTGAGGTAAGTTTTTGTATTCAATGCTTTTAGTATAACGGTTGCTTTACGTTTTTTAAGCGAAGTAGATCTACAGAAATCTAAAATCGAAGTAAATCATCAAGATGTCACGGGAAAATGGAATAGAAGCACCGCGGGCGGTATTATTAGTCAAAAATTGGTGTGATACACTATTTTTTTTTTATTCAATCTGTTTACTGTGCGCCACAAACAGCTCTTGGCCTTAGTAGTATGCACACCACGTAACTCATAAAACAAAGAGCACAGTTACAAAGACATTAAAGATAAAAAACAAATCCAAGTCACTCTTACTGAGTTAAAAATGAATTTCAATTATGTCATCTGTAATTCGAGTTTAACATTTCATGAATAAGATAAAGAAGAGGCTTTGTTGTGCTTTTTCAGAACACAAAAAGAAATGGCGCTAAACGGTGCTTTAGGCGTCTGCGTTTTCTTGCACTAATCCTCACTACATCCGCTTGAGACGGTGCGTCATTTATCGAATTCACTACCTTGCACAAAAACAACATATAGCAACAACGTGTCAGTTCTTTTCGTGCCAGGGCTTACTCTCTCCGTTAGGTGTGAAGGCGCTGCTAGCCTGAGCTTGCAGTGCCGATTGGTCGACAGCTTTATGTTAATTCACCCTCATATCGAGGATGACAGCGCGGTCTGGAACGAAAGATGTGCAAACGACGAACCAACAGCCTTTTGCACCCGTCGCGCCACGGAACGGTCGTCAGCGGAAGGTCTTACGCATTTCGAGGGTAATAATGCCAAGTGGCCTTTGGTTTAGTTTTTCACCACGTTCTGTCCTAAACAATATGCCTTCGCCTAGGTTTGAATGCCCTGCGACGAGACGTACTGAATGCACATGAGATTACCTTCACATCGATATTGTGACCTGACTGTTCTTATTGCTAGGTTTGTGAGCATATAAACAATAAAAGCAAAATGCCGTTCTCCAATTCTTTTTTGCTCTCTCACAGCTCTTTTGGGGGTGGGGGTGCAATGATGAATTGTTTTTGCTTAATCTTCGGTTAAAAAACAGCAGAAGCGTTGGATGCTACGTAAACTCATAAGCTTTTTACATTTTTGTGTTATTTCTAACGAATCTTTCATTTGTTTTTTTCTCTCACTAAGACGCACCAGCAGTCAGCGTCTAGATATCTCTAGATAATGATAATATGCACGTTCATGCAGTTTAAATGAAACGGAATTTAAAGGCTGCGCTTCGGCGCCGAATGTGGTGGAAAACTGAATCAAAATCGCAGCTCGAATTATTTTCTGAAAGCACCGGCCATTTGTCATCATCACAATTCTCGAAGCACATGATAGTTTTCGCTGACAACCGTCGCTGTACAATGATGGGGGTAAGCTACATGTTGCTCCGATATTCGAGTTTCTTTTATACGAGACTTTGCACTCTGGTGTCCTGTGCTGAAACAAGAAAGCGATCGCTTGGTTCGTATGTGAATGCCAACCTTTTTAGTCATCTGAAATTATTGGATTCTGTACTGTGCCTAATATCCTCACTGCGAAAAAAATGGCCTCTTTAATTGCTTCAATTCATCTCATCATCGAAATCAACCAACCAAAAAAGAATATATTTTTCCTCCAGCCTGATGGTTCGAATGGCTGCCAATATTGGAGATTGGGACTACTGTAGGCGCAGGTGCTGAACTAGGAGCATAGGAGTCTGGGCAAAAACGTGTAAATTGTGGAATTGATGCCATGGAACAAAAAGTGTTGAAAATAAACGTCTCAAATTTTTGCTATTAAAAAAATTAAATAAATTTTAGCATTTTAGCAATGCAATTTGGCTTATCTGTAATTGAACTTTGCCCGCCAGACTTCCCCATGAGCGAAGCCTGCATAACCTGGTAATTTAGCAGATGATGAAAAGTGCAGCGATATCGAGTATATATATAGCTTACATCATGTCACAATATGCCACATCAATGGTGCATTTTTGTTTTGGTATTTTTTTTCACTTGGAATCATCGCTTTGGGATAGCCCAGATTGAACCCAACATTTTCTGAGCTTTGCGCATTATCTGTGGTTTTTGCAAATGAGAACACCTTTGAGTGTATCTGTTTTTTTTTTTATGAAAGCAACTGACGATCTTCGTGCTCCGCTAGTGCATCTGTCGACTTATGAGATTGTGTTAGCATCTTGTGGCAATATCATCGAAGAGACGACAACAATTCAGCAACATTGTCCATAGGGACTCTAGTTCTGCTTTTAATTTATCAATATTGAGCCGCATACATCATTAAGGCATACTCTGTTTTTTAAACAAATTATACAGAGGTCAGGCAGTACCTTTGAATTGTTCAAAATTGTTTGTTTATGTAGAATTCTTGAAAACATTCAAGTAGCTTGCCCTCTAAATGTGGCAAAAGCAAATTAGACCCAAGTGCTTAGACATAGCACGGGTCATACTAAAAGGACATTAGGTCGTCTATCCTCATTTTTGTTTATTCTTTGTCTTTCAGGAGAATGCCACTGACTCGGATCTGGGTGATATGGACCCAAGCCCGATCATATGTGTTAAAGGTCAGTATGTGCTTTCAAATTCTGGCCCGAAGCATGAAGGTGGACGAGTTCTGTTCTCATACTGCATCAATTGTTATTTATAGGAGCCAACAACTACACAGCAAGCGAGTTCACAATTTGTGTTGACACAGTGCCGGTGATGACCACAAGCAACAGGGCAGGCTCATTCAAGTTGATGTTCCTGCTCTATTTTGTGCTGAACATTTCGTTCCCAGAAGAAGTGAGCCTTACACTTGAATTTATTCAAAGGTAAGTGCTTCATCACCCCTGCTTTTATTGTTAAATTTGATCTGCTTGTCATATGAAAGATGTATCCTTTACACAAAACATAGCTTCCATTGGAAGAACCCCTGTGCCTGCTGATTTCTTACAATGCTTTGATTTTGCATGCCAAGACCTCAAGCTAAGGTTTTTCATTGTTTCATTTGGATCATTCTAACTACAGAAATTACTTCTCAGGGGCCACAAAGCTGAATGGCATATTCACAACGATATAGTGCATAAAGGAAACTTTTTTCGCACAAATGAGGTCAGTTTTTAAGACAGTTTTATGAGTGATGTTAATCATTTTGTGATGAAAGTCTAACCCCATACATGTCGTGGGAGAAATGATTGCTGTTGGTGAAAAGAAAAAAGATGAACTATGTCATTTTTTATCTTGGGCTAGTTGGCTCGAAAATAGCATAGTGTAAACCATAAGTAAGCAATTTTCCAGTCCCGGGAGCCCTAAAATACTGCAATGTGGTCCGGCGACCACCTTCCCTCCGCACGCACAAACACACGCACGCACGCGCACACATGCAAAAATGCGCATGCGCACACACGCATGCGCACGCACACATACACAAACCCATCTCACCACGCTCATTACACTCATCAGTGGGTGCAGTCGTCTCATTTGCACACGACTTCATCAATTGGAATGAAGGGCATTTCAGCTGCACATGGTGAAAGGGAGACCGTTTATATGCCCAGAAAATGCATGGCTTCCACCTCCTGTAAATGTATCGATAGCAGCGTGCTCTCTTTTGTGTTAAGCCCTGATCCGTAATTACTGCACACCTCGTGCAAGAGTTATTGTTTTCAGATGGCAAGGAATATCGTGGACACTATATTGTTTTCATTCTCAATATTAAGCACTCCGCCAGAGAAGCTATATATTTTGTGCCTCTGTGCTCTATGCTGTCATTAAATATTCCTGAGAAACGTGCCAAAAAAAACTTGCACGTCCAAGGTAATAGTAAAATATTTTAAAGTCAGTGCCAGTGTCACCATCAGCACTTCAGCTTCACAAGACCCCATGCTCTCACTGTCCACATTCTAGTTTACACTGTGATGCTAGGATGGCGAGAAACAAAGGTAACAGTATGAAGTCTCCACAGCAGCTGAGTTTATTTTCTAGAGAATGACAACTAATATACACTTAAACGACTAAAAGGGGATGGAAGAACAGACGTGCACTTTTAGATTGCACATCTGTAAAATATGAAACAAGCTAGTTGACTGAAACTAGCGAAACAGGATGGAACACTCCAAGTGGTGCTAAAGTGCCCGACAAAACTACCTTTTTGAAGGCTCAATAAGTCGATCGACTGGCAGAGGTTACCATTTTTTTCTACTGATATACGTGAAACATGAAATAGTTGTGTAGACAAACACCTGGAACAAAAACTCCCGAATAAAAGTATCGCAAGTGTTCATTGAAATGTAAACATGGCTGATTAACACAGTTACCATGCTTCTCTAGCCAGCATTTTTGTTAAGGCTATTTTAGAGAAATTCCTTTTCTTAAACAAAATGTCTTATTCCTTGGCACGCATTGGACAATTTATTGTTCAGCAAGTCCGGGAGTAGGGTTTTGTTCTCATTTACGTTTACACTGTTTTAATTCTCAATCAAGCTTTAAACAAAAAGGGATCACTCTAAGCAATTGAAACGAACTGTATTTGTTAGCAGGCATCTTGCAAAAGAGAGTATTGTTTTGTTGAGCCTGATGAAACTAATTCATTGAAACTAATTGATTAGATATTGGTTTAAGGGCCAAAGTGTCAATTAGGAGCTTGTAGAGAGCTTTAAAGAGCACTCGATGGAGGTGCTTGCACCATATTACACTTTGCCTGGTTCTTTTCTCCAGCCTTCAAAAAACGCCCACAAAATGCAAAGAATACCATATGACATTGCACTCCCCTAATCGCAGCGCACGCGTGCGCTGCGAGCGGGCGTTTTTTTTAGGGTTGGATAAAAGAAGCACTCAAGGTGCACCGCATTGCAAACTCCTCCATTGGGTGTTTATTCAGGCTCTCTACAACATTCCAATCGACACCTTTAATTTCCTTTAAATATTTACAGAACAAGGTTATTAGTCGTAATTATTTAATTAGGCACAATAAAAAAAGATATTGGCCCTGGCAAGACGTGTGCTAAGAAATGCAGTTGGTTCCATTCGCCTGTAATGCTCCGCTTTTTTTTAAGCTTGGTTCCAGACAACTGTAACACCCTGTGTACCTTATTAAGCGACCAGGCGCACTTTTCCCTAAAATCATTACTTATTAATATGTGGCGGTGCGCGTAATTCCCGCCGGCGGTTCAAACATCTTGAACATGGCGGCAACCCAGATATCTGGTTCACAACACTTTGGTGTCCTTATTGGAAATGAATGTATCATTATCCATATGATGGACATCTGCCAAATCGGTCGTTGGCACTCACCAACATCGCATCCATATTTTTCCTATCTAACGCATAGTTTTTGTAGGAAAGTTTTGGCCAGCATTCCATAACCTCCCTGTGTATTTAAATAATACATGTTTCATGGGGAACAATGCTATAGTAAAAAGATATGTTTGTTTGATTTCAGGGGTATTGCAAGCATGAACCCACCGAGGGGCACCAAGATTCTTAAAAAGAAGAAGCAACACTGTGTGTCACCCGCGGTTGCCAAGCTGATGGCTTCCCTGGAGGAATATGCCTTTTAAGCTGAAACAGTCTTAAAGCCTTCCTGATTTAAATAAAAGGTATGTTCCGGAAATGTCATCTTTAAGCCCAAGCAAGGCAAAGGGAAGGAATAAAAAGGTGGCATAAATAGAGCGGTACGCTGTCAATTGTACCGGATAAATTGGCTTCTGAATTTTCACCACACGTGTACTCTAGTGGTGCACATTACCTTGTGAACTTCTAAAGCATAGATCCCTTTCTGTGAGCAATAAGGACAAGAATCCTTGTAGCCTCTATGGCGGGCACCAATGCAGGCGACCGAGTCGCAGTGAGCGGCTAGAGCCCGATGCGAAATGAGTACTCGCATTTCACATAAAATGGAAGACTCGTTTCAAAACGGGCGCGGGTTGAATCGAGCGGTCAACTGGCGATGCGACTTGGTTGTCTGTGTCGTTGCCCACCATAGAGATGCACGTTTGCAAGATAACTAGTGCCATTAAAATACATGTTTGGGTAAAATTTGATATAGCTGTGTGCAGAAGCTAATTTTTAGGTACCAATTTACAGCCTACCACTATTTAGGCCACCCTACACTGGGTTTAATTATAATGCAAGGGTGCAAGTGAGCTGGACAAGAATGATGAAAATAATTCCTGGAGAAGACGAACAAGAAGGACAAACAGAAATCCCCAAACACAGTTAGGTGACTGGTGAGCGACCGAAAAGATCCGCCTGGTCCTGGTATCGAACCCGGGAACTCTCCATTACAGGTGGAGCGCTCTACCAACTGAGCTAACCAAGGGTTAAACGTCAGTAGAGCAAACGGGTTTGTGTTTGTCCTTTGTCCTTCTTGTTTCCCTTCTCCAGGGATTATTTTCATCATTCTTGTGCAGCTCGCTTGCACCCTTGCATGTAATTGCATTATAATTATAACCTTAAATTGCAAGCTTCACCCTCGTTGGTGTTAGACTGGTGGAAGCTGATAAAACCCGTTTGCTCTATTGACGTCTAACCCCTGGTTAGCTCAGTTGGTAGAGCGCTCCACCTGTAATGGAGAGGTCCCGGGTTCGATACCAGGAACAGGCGGATTTTTTCGGTTGCTCACCAGTCACCTAGCTGTGTTTGGGGATTTGTGTTTGTCCTTTGTTCTTGTTCCCCTTCTCCAGGAATTATTTTCATCACTACACTGGGTGTTTGGTTTTAGCTGCCCCAAGTTTTCAAAACAATAAGTTTCATTAGGTAACTTCATTTTGCAATCAGCTTACTCTACTTAGCGGGCACTACAAAGTTGTTTGTGGAAGTAGGTGGCTAATTAACATATATTTTAAATTAACTTGTAATTAGTAAACGGAGCCATATTCTTGCAATTAGAAACTTGCTGGCCATAGTCGAAAGCCACTAAACCTGTTCATTAGAAATGCTGGGAGAACGTGCATTGTTTTCACATTCATTTAATGTAAAATCTATGCACCTCACAGAAATAGGGTGGGCACCCCATTGGTCATAGTCAAGAGAACCATTTAATAAGGCATGTAGTGCTTAGGATAAAGTTTTAAAATAGTTTTGCATACAATGATATTAACCAGTTTTAGAGACTTGCTGGGCATAATCGGAAATCACTAAATCTGTTAATTTTAGAAGGATTGGGGGCACGTACGAAGTGTGATATTTCACAAAAGGTACCACTTTTCATACAGGCGCAAGCCTGGCAAAGCGAAAATGTGGATGATGAGACGGAAAAACTTGGAGGTCACAACAGATTTGCAGGCCAGAGAAACAATACATGTGCTCCTAGTCTCTAAATTTGAATGATTTAGGGGTTTCTCACGATGCTTATCAAGTTTCTAATTGTAACTATACGCTTATTTTTTTAACGAAAAGGTTAATTAAAACATCTGTTGTTCCTAGTGGCCGCCAAGTCAAGCAAACTAATGGCACTATCAAGATTTCCCTGGTGCAAGTTCTCTTCAATATTTGTGTCCATAAAAAGAATACCAGGTATATACTCAGGAAGTGTATCGTTAAGAGCCCAAGAGGGCAGAGTTAAGAGTCGAAGTAGGTATGTTCAATAAATTCCATTTAGTCTGAGCCCCAAGCGGGCCAAAGTTAAGAAATAAAACTGCAGTTTCTAATAGTCTGTTGAAGACAAGCCATCTGTTCAGAGCCAAAGCGTGGCGAATGCAAGAAATAAAGTGGTTATTTACAAATATTACAATATCTCATGTTTTCTTTCTTCAACAAGTTTGACGACTTCTTTCATCGCGAATATCCCGGCGTTAATAAGTCCAGGAAGGTAGGGAAGGTGTAAATATGGCGTG